GTGATTAATCTTCGACCGACTTAGAAGAGCCACCCACCCCAGAAATCTTCTGGCACGCACTTAATTAGACCCCACTTAAGAGGCGTTGCCGCTCAAGGAGAATCGAGTATGGGTTAGAAGGTTCCCAACCATACTCGCCCACCAACCAAGCTAAACAACAGTGGATCAGCTGTCTGAGTTTGAATTCAAGGTATGTCTCTTTTCTGATTTTAAAAGATTATGTCATGAGATTTGATTGCTATCCGTTTTTGTTAATGAGCCAGGCATGCTCCCAGAGCCCCACTACTCAATCTATTGTATTTTCTTATTTTGCATTTCGTATTTAATTGTATATAGTTCTGCAAGATACAGCTTAGGCTAACAACAACCAGAGCAACAGGAACAAACCACGAGCTATTTAATTATTCATACATCATTTTGCTTCCTTGAATCCTTCACATTAGCTACATGAAATGATACACAAATTTTAAAGTCCAACAAAATGGCTCCAGTGAACGGCCAGGAAGCTACTTCCTCAAAAATTCATGAACTTCCTCTGCAAAAATAACGAAGGTTTCGTTTGTAACGACTTTCTTACTGCTTTTTAAAGAAACTTTCTAGTGCAAATTTTTTTTTTTTGTACTAAAAATTTGTTTAAAAAACAGCAAGAAAGTCGTTCCAAATGAAGCCGAAGTTTCATTCTTTACATCTTTTTTCAACAAAGATAGCAGAACAGATGCATAAAGTTATCTTGAATCTAACTTCTAAACTGATCATGACGGACTGACGGTATTTGAGTTCTATTTTCCACCATCATCGACCAATTTCCTTACCTCAGTTCTCATCCATTCAAGCAAATGCTCTCTTCTCACTCTGAGCTCTTCCAATATCGACTGCATCAAAATGAGGTTGCTGCTAATGGTAGCAGGTTCAGGATCTCCATTGTTGCTCTTTACTTTACTCTCCTTGCATTGCCTCTTCATTTTTCTACCATAGTTTCTGTCAACTTTCATAGCCTGATTTAAGAACTGCGTTCTGTTATCTTTCTTAACAGGCCTATTCATGAAGAGATGCTGATGGTTAATATCAGTAGCTCGTCTAGTTTTGGTTGCGACCAAGTCTGAAATTTGCTTAAGGCGTTCTTCAGCACTTGAAGATGACTGACACTCTTCATCAGAGGAATCTGGATCATCTTGTTTCCTAAATTCCCATAGATTTGGATGTTTCTGGCCTTGAGCCATTGCAACTGAGTAATTATCAACGGCTATATTTTCAGCCTTCTTCACCCTAAAGATAAACACCACGCAGTTCACTTCAGGATAAGTTTCAAAACAGGTGATTTGAAATTTACAAGTAAATTTCTGAGTTAAAAAAGTACATTGAAATCATGCTATTTCTACTGAGGAAAATCATGTTTAAAAAGCAAGGTATTTTCATCAAGTACAAGATAACTCTTTCTGATATGTAAAACATGTTTGAAGTATTTTCTTTTTTTTTTTTTTCATCAGGCCATATTGGTTCTTTTTAAACACAATATCAAAAGAATCTACCGCACAAAATGAAAGAGCACATGTGTATCTTCTTATCTAATCATCAAGAGAAATAATTATGTGCGAATTCGAGATGGAGTTCAGATCGACTCCAAACAGAATCGAACATGTCGTATATACATTGTGTACAAATTGTACACAACCGGTGTATACAAATTGTACATAGCCGGTATACAAATTGTACATAGTGTGTGTACAAACTTGTGTGACTAGTTCTGATTGGAGTTCAAACGCAGCTCTAATTGGAGTCTGGACGCAAGCTGCGTCTGAACTCCGCATGTAATAATTTCTCCACCATCAAGGGCCTTAATCCAACTATTTGGGGGTGGACTTTACAAATCCTCATTCAACAGTCCTTTTCACAGAGTGCTAAACTCTACATAAATCTTTTTGGACAAATTCTACTCATGTAATCTTTGCTGGATCATTTTCCTTCCTTCTAACTCCACATTAAGCTCATCCTAGTGTATTTTATACTATTTGAAAATTTATTGTTATTTGATTGCCAGTAAAATAAATACATGAAAACTATTATTTTTGTTTAGTTGAATCCTAAACGATATCTAAAAGCAAGGTATTATTTAAAAACAAAAAAACTTTAGCTGGAAAGGATCAAGGCAGGTGACCAGGGCGGTGCTAGGAGCTTAACTGGTGGCCGGAGGTACTGGGGCGGGCAATGAGGGTGGCCTTGGGGGTTTGAGCGGTGAAGGGAGGGTATAAGGCGGGCATCAACGGAAACAATGGGAGCTAGGGCTTCGGCGGGAGGGTGGGAGGCGACAGAGAAGAGGTGAATTTGGAATTCTTCAAAAACAAGCCTTTTATGATATTCTAAATTCCTTCACCTTCATTGTTTAGCTCAAACTGAACTGGAGAAAACTGTTTTTCCAAGAAATAGAACAGCTTACATGCATTAAAAAAGAAGAATAGCTACAAACAGTAAAGCCTTACAGAAAAAGACAGAGATACTAAAGTTTATGCAAACATGCATAAGAACGACGCAGAAAAGAATAAAAAAATAGATTTTTCTATGAAAAACCAGAGCTTGAAATGAGCAAAAACCATGTCAACAGGCAAAACAAAGTATGAAATCTGTATTTTGTGGGAGTTTCATCTAACCATATAGATCTGAACAAAGCTGATAGGAAAGATTAAACTCATTAGCCCTTTAACATGCCAACGAACTTTCTGAGCCCTTCAAGAATTTTGCTTTTTTTGGTACGAAAATGAAGTCGAGAGAGCTCACCTTCAAAGGCATCAAATCAATCAAGCAGAGAATTATTTTTAGAATATCTTTTTCCGACCCACCTTCTTATTGCTGAAAAATTACCTTATAATTAATTGATTTATTGGCTGTGATATAGATAATATATGACATAAAATTTGGATAAAAAAAGTTTATATGGGGAAAATATAGAATTTTTTTATTAATTGTATTTTTTATAATATTAATGCAAATACTATAAAAATATGTCTAGCCTATTTTAGTCAAAGGGAGATTTAATTTTATACATCTCTCACTAATAAATATTGAGAAAATATATTCGCTGCTTATTCATATTGGATTCTCATTTTATTTATGAAATGCATTCTTACTCATCTCCCAACCTAGATGAAGAGATGAGATAGATACAGACATCTATTCAATATGGTAGAGAAGACATCCAATGAGTGAAATCTTGAATGTCTTCTCTATGTGATAGAGAAGATATCCAGAAGTGAGACTTACAGCTCAATCGTGCGTGATTGAATAAGCCTAGACTTCCTTTCAATGTGGCAGATTAAATGTCATACATCATAGCCTCTTTTTTAATGTCCGTCTTCCATACAATAACTCCTAGCAATGCCTTGCCCAAAATTACATAGGAAAGCTATGAATATATTTAGAGAGAGAGAGAGAGGAGAGTTCCCCAAACAAACAAAGACATCATGAAAATAGCTAACAAAACTAGAAAACAGTTATAAAACAAACTTTAAACAAATCAACTTACTTAATTATGAACAATTACACATCAATTTACATCTTTCCCCTAATTAAAGTTTTATTTGGAACAACTTTTGGCCACCGTTTTTTGCTGCTTTCAACAATTTTTTGTACTAAAAAGCTACTGTAGAAAGCAATAAGAAAACTTTCCCTAACAAATAGCACAAATTTTTTTTGAACTAAAAATTTTTATACTAAAATGCTACTATAAAAATGTTATTCCAAACTACTCATAAATCTCCTAAGTTCAAATCTCCTTCACATCTATTAGGCTATCATGTGTAAACAAACAGGTAAGACTACTGGTCAAATCTCCTTCACATGTAAATATGTTAGTTGTTAATGTTTTTGTAAACATATGGATAAGACTGTCATGAATGCTATCTTTAGTCAAAAATTTCTAGTTAAAAAAAAATGTACTAAAAAGCTGCTTTAAAAATCAAAATCGCACTCTCTTTTTTGTGCTTTTTCTGATTTTTGTTTCAACTAATTATTGCAATAATAGTATACTACTAATAGAGAGAAAGAGGGAAATGGAAAGTTGACGGGCTGTTTGGGTTGAGAGAGAAAGCTACTATTGGGTTTCAGTGTTCTAACTTTACAGGCATCTGGAGTTCGGGTTGTTGGATTGAGAGGTGGAAGAAGAGCTGCTGATGTAAGAGGCGATAGAAAGTAAGTGGTTGGTTGGAACCCACAGTTTAGAGAGGGAATGGATGAATCTGCGTGACATATATTTTGATTTGTACGGCAAGGCTGGCTAGATTGTCCGCGGATTTGGGCGAAAAATTGTAAAGTTTCTGACGGATTTGAAAAGTTTTCAGCTAATTTCCGGCAGAAAATTAGAAAGAAGATGAGTAAATGGAATTGGTAGTTGGCTATAGGAGTTTGAAGAGATGATGACTATAACGGGTAGGTGGAGAGGAGTTGCTGAGCTCAGTTTGGGCTGTGAGAGAGAAGTGGAGGGAGACTGATGTAGTGTAGAAGAGTATAACGTGGAGAGATGGGAGCGGATACCGGATGAGAGAACCGTCTGAAGCTTGGTATTGAGCACAACACTGAGCAGTACCAGTGCTCAGTGCAGCTCGGTACCGCGCTCGGTATACAGCACTGTACATTTTTAAATTGACATGCATGACATATTTTTATTAGTCTCTGGATGATATTCAGATTTTGTGCAGAAAAATTAGTACAAATGAGAGATTATTGTGTGCGCATACCGACAGGAGAACCGTCCGATGACACCTAATAATTTTCCGTTAATAAGAGCTTTTTTTCTTTGTCGGGATAGCCCAATTCATTTTAGATTTTCTTTATTCTGTAGACAGCGGCGGAACTCATGCATGAAGGCAATGTAACAACTGTAGTCGGCAAACACTGTTTAGTAGTTAAATATATATATATCTCTGTATAGATGTGGCCAGAAATTATTTCCTTCCACCTACTCGTGTCAGATATAGATCAAATCGACCTATTAATCCTCCCTGTGGCGCCTCATCTCTTCCAATTGATCATGGAAGGTGGGAGTCCTCACATATTAATGCTGCCATGGTTTGCCTTTGGCCATCTTCTTCCCTTTCTTGAGCTCGCTAAATCCCTCGCCGGAAAGGGCCACCGTATCTCTTTCCTCAGCACCCCAAGAAATGTAGCAAGACTCCCCGCCATCCCCCCGCCTCTCACTCCCTTCATCAACTTCATCGAAATCCCACTACCTCAAATTGAACACCTGCCGGAGAACGCCGAGGCGACGGTAGACCTCCCTTCGGCTGATCTCCGTCCATATCTAAGTAAAGCTTTTGACACTTTTGAGCAAAAGATCTCCGATCTCATCCAAACCAAGCAAATCTCGTCTCTGGATTGCATCCTCTTCGACTATGCCGCTCACTGGGTTCCAAACATTGCTGTAAAATTCGGCGTGCCGTGTGCGTTCTTCAGTATCTATAACGCCTCATCCTTATCCTTCTTCGGCCCGCCGTCGGTTCTAATGGGCGGCGCAGGTGCTAGGAAGAAAGCAGAGGATTTCACCATGTTGCCTACGTGGATTCCTTTCCCTTCCACGATCGTCTTCCGCCCTTTCGAGGCTCGCCAGATATTCAATGGATCAGCTCCAGATGCATCTGGTGTATCTGAAACTTATCGGTTTGCGAAATCAATACAGGGATGCCAAATCGTACTCATCCGTAGCTGTAA